GGCAGAGTCTCACTTTGTCACCCTCAGTAGACTGTTGTGGCATCACAGCTCACAGCACCTCAAACTCTGGGGCTTAAGCAATTCTCTTGCCTCAGCTTCCCAAGTAGCCTGAATTACAGGTGCCTGCCACAACACCCAGCTATTTTTTTTAGAGACGAGGTCTCACTCTGGCTCAGGCTGGTATTGAACTTGGGAGTTCAGGCAATCCACCTGCCTTGGTTTCTCAGAATGCTAGGTAGAACTATAGGTGTGAGCCACTGCACCTGGCGTTAATCAGATATTGAGTTCTATATTCCTATGACCAACATAATATTTAAAAAAATTTTTTTTAGAGATTAGATCTCACTTAGGTTGCCCAGGCTAGTCTCAAACTCCTGGCCACAAGAGATCCGCCTGTGTTGGCCTCCCAAAGTCCTGGGATTACAAGCATGAGCCACTGTGCCCTACCTCAACACAGTATTTTTTTAATAAAATTCTTTTATCATTATATGTTTCATCATCTTTTTAGTAAAATATTGAAGTACAGATTCAGCTCATTCACTGTATAGAAAATGACTACCATTTGTGGAATTGGCAAAGCCACTTATCATTTCATACTAATCAGCCAAGTTAAATTTATTTTCTGTTAGAAAAAAGTGTGAGTTTTATTCTTCAATTTAGATAAGTATGTCAACATTCATTTTATAGGATATTATAAAAATCTTTGGGAAATTATTAACTATAAGTTATAAATTACTAATCAGTCAAGATTAAAATTGTATAATCTAATATTAACATAATAAATGCTAAAAACATGATAGTACGCTTTCTCATTATGTAATTTGGAATAATGCAGTGTAATGTATAGTTAAATCCATCAGTAATCAGAAATAGTATAGAAGGCATGTTATTCCCTTGATAAATGTGTGTGCTTGCTTCCATCACACTCTGGCATTTGGTCTGTGAGAATAATAAAATGAAAATCATGTCAAATCTTATTACATATAAATTTATTATGTGTTTTTAAAAAAGAAAGTTATATTTGCTAAGAAATAACAGTTTGAGCAGCTAACAATTTTGGATTTTGCTAGTAAAAGGTAGAAAATAAAACATTTTATAAGAGGAGAATTGATTGCAATGGGTATATTTTGATATGAAGTGGAAAACAACCCTTCCCGATTCTCTAGGTTTTTACACCCTGGACCATGCATCAGGATTTAGTGTAGGTGAGGGATATACTTTTTTTTTTTTTTCACAGTTTTTGGCCGGGGCTGGGTTTGAACCCACCACCTCCAGCAAATGGGGCCACTGCCTTACTCCTTTGAGCCACAGGCACTGCCCTGAGATATACTTTTCTTTTGTAAAAAGGGACAAATGACTATGGTGAAAAGGGAGGTAGAATGGTGAGTGGGCATGGATATGTCAATTGGCTCTCAAACAGAATGATTTTAGGAAAAATATCATGTAGAAGTAAAGGATCTTGAAATGTATTCCTTTAAAACTCTCCCCAGATTTATTTCCCTGCTCAGGTGTATATCTTACAGAGTCTTCACATAGCACTGGAAAGAATTCTTTGGAAAGTCTTTATTTACCCCAGTTTAAAGACTTTTTGATATAGGTATACCCATACTGCAATGGCCCTAACTACATATTCTGGGACACCAAAGGAAGTGTCCTAAGATCAGTAGGAAGACTTAGTGTTCATGGAATAGAAGAGGGTTAAGAGAAAAGTCAAAGGATGTCCCCATGTTGGTATAATATAATGGTCCTAGATATGCTCCTTATCTTTACAGTTCTAGAACTATAATAATTCTCAGTGTGCACAAAGATAATAATGTTTTGTCACACGAAATCAAACTCACAGGAAATTAATATGTAAACTAGAATGCCAGTGTGTTAATTTGTACTCATAGCTACCAAGTAGACTGGGTTCTTTTTCCTATCGAGAAATCTATATGGGAAGATCAATTATAATCAGAAAGTTACATGAGGAGTATGGATCTTGAGTGTGGCTACTGTTACCAAACTGTGATTGCCAGATGCTTGCTGCCTGGCATATAATAGGAACTCAGTAATTATGGAATGAATGCAACTATCTTCATTATATATGCTAAAGGGGATGTTTAAGATTCTGATAGGCCACCTCAATATCTTTTTTGATTAGGTAGACCTTTCTTTGTTCATCTAGCCATACTCTTAAATGGATATATCATTTGGATTTTATTGTATATTAAATAAAATTCCATGTCAGAGAGTTAATATATTTGCAACATCTAAGTTGTATCTATCATCCCTGAACCTAGAAATTGGGACTGTTAACTTTTTTCTTTTCTTTTTCTTTTTGAGACAGAGTCTCACTTTGACACCCTTGGTAGAGTGCCGTGGCATCATAGCTTATAGCAATTTCAAATTCTTGGGTACAAGTGATCCTCTTATCTCAGCCTCCCAAGTAGCTGGGACTCAGGTGTGCACCACAGACCCTGCTATTTTTAGAGATGGGTTCTCACTCTTGCTCAAGCTGGTCTAGAACTTGTGAGCTCAAGCCATCTACCTGCCTCAGCCTCCCAAGAGTGCTAGGATTACAGGAGTGAGCCACTGTGCCTAGAAACATTTATTTATTTATTTATTTATTTTTGTAGTTTTTGGCCAGGGCCAGGTTTGAACCCGCCACCTCTGGTATATGGGGCCGGTGCTCTACTCCTTTGAGCTATAGGTGCCGCCCAACACTTATTTATTTTTTAAGGATTAAGTCTCATTGTGTTGCCCAGGCTGTAGTGCAGTGGCTATTTACAGGTATAATCACAGGTCACTGCACTCTTGAACTCCTGGGCTCAAATGATCTTTTGGCCTTAGCCTCCTGAGTAGCTTGGACAACAGGCATATATCACTGCACCTGGATAATTTTTAAAAATTTTTTAGAGTTGAGGGTCTTACTGTGTTGCCTAGGCTGGTCTTAAACTCTTGTACTCAAGCAAGCCTCCTGCCTTAGCCTCTCCAGTAGCTAGGAGTACAGGTTCTCACTATTACCCTTGGCTGGGACTATTCATTTATGTAAAAGATTGGAGACTGCACAGTAGTGACTGAATAATCTGTATTTCAGAATACTATTTGAAAAATAAAAAACAAACTGAAGTATCAGAATACTATTTGGTGGTCAAGAGTGTATCTCAAAAAGAATAATGTTGGATGTCTCTCATTGCAGGTATTTTGCTAACTAGGGAGATGGATGCTGAATCATCTATGGTCTGGCCAGCTTTTTGTGGACTGTGCTAAGAAGGAACAATAAATTTCCTCCATCTCCTAGATCCCTCTCAGGAGATAATTCTGGATATTGCTTTTAAAAATAGACAAAGAAGGCTCAGCCCCTATGGCTCAAGTGGCTGGGGTGCCAGCCACATATACCTAAGGTGGCAGGCTCAAATCCAGCCTGGGCCCGCCAAACAACAATGATGGCTGCAACGAAAAAAGAGCCGGGTGTTGTGGCTGGCGCCTGTGATCCCAGTTACTTGGGAGGCAGAGGCAGGAGACTCGCTTGAGCCCAGGAGTTGGAGGTTGCTATGCCCTGTGATGCCATAGCATTCTACCCAGGGGAATAGCCTGCGGCTCTGTCTCAAAAAAAAAAAAAAAAAAGTAGACAAAGAAGTTGGGCAAGGTTGTCTACACCTGTAATCCTAGCACTTTGGCAGGCCAGTGTGGGAGGACTGCTTGAGGTCCTAAGTTTGAGACCAGCCTGAGCAAGAACAAGACCCTGTCTCCACATAAAAATTTAGCCAGGTGTGGTGGTGGTACATACTTGTAGTCCTAGCTACTTGGGAGGCTAAAGCAGCAGGAGCCCAGAAGTTTAAGGTTGCAGTGAGCTATGATCATACCACTGCACTCCAGCCTAGGTAAGAGAGCAAGACTACGTTTCTTAAGAAAGGAGAAAAAGGCTAGGCGCCTGTAGCTCAAATGGCTAAGGTGCCAGCCACGTACACCTAAGGTGGCGGGTTCGAATCCAGCCCAGACCTGCCAAACAACAATGATGGCTGCAACCAAAAAATAGCCGGGCGTTGTGGTGGGCACCTGTGGTCCCAGCTACTTGGGAGGCGGAGGCAGGAGACTCGCTTGAGCCCAGGAGTTGGAGGTTGCTGTGAGCTGTAATGCCACGGCACTCTACCCAGGGGGACAGCTTGAGGCTCTGTCTCAAAAAAAAAAAAAAGAAAGGAGAAAAAAAAAGAAAGAAAGAAAGAAAAAGAGACAAGCTTTTTCAAATTCTAAAATCATTAAGAATAAAATGAATCACCACTAAGTTTGGGTAATTTTCTCTGGAAGCCAGAAGACACTTTGCCTTTTTTTCCATCTCTAGGATAAGGTATAAAGATAGAGGAAAACATGCTAAGCCAAACAGTTTCATTTAGTATTTTAATAATAATAGAAAAGACAATACAAAATCCAAACATTTCTTTTTACAAATTCAGATACATATTTTCCCCAAGTGCAAAATACTTTATGAACTGCATCATTTGCTGTTTATTGTTGATTGTGTAGGAGATGCTTACTATATTGGCAGCAGTGGAAGCCAGATATAAAGACAATATTTTGAGATTTCTTCTGCATTAAAAAAAAGCCTCCCACATGTTGATTATTTTCTGAAACTTCAATTTAACTCAAACAGAAGAATAAAGTTTTCAGTTTGTCCAAACTGCTACAACCCTACAACCTGTGTTGTCTAGATAAGCTGATAACAGAACTAAGGGTTCTATTCTCTATAATCATATATTTTTCTTAAAGGATTTCTAGTCCAAATAATGGACCAAGGACAGATCTGCTACCTTTGAAACAGGTCAAATTTAAAGATCTCTTTGTAGTGTTTACTTCCACTTTTCTCTTACTGTGCTTAAGAAAGAAAACTAGCAGGTTAACACTTTCAGCTTATGGCCAGTTAATTTGTTCCCCCTGTCTGAGGCTGTCATAGTGAGGTTAAGCAGCAAAAATAAAAAGTTTGAATGCTCTGTTTTCTGGCATTTTTGAGATCGGACCTAATTCATTCCGAAGTCACCTAAAACATACATATGGAATACTTCCCAGACATAAAATGTTTCATTAGGGCCAAGATCAGGACTATATCACTAAACTTTCAACAACAAATATGAGTCTCTACCACCTCACACTGACCAAATCCTGGGGGAAGTCAGAGCAGTCACAGCTCAATGTCAGCCTTGAGGGATTTCTAGGCCTGGGACAGACAGCTCAAGGCCAGGTTCTGGTCAGTTCTCTTATGACTCTGAAGAGTTCACTCAGGTTTAGAGAATGAACATAGCCTGATTAATACAGAAAGAGGGGAGGCAGAGAAGTACAGAGGAATTGCCACGTTGCCAAAGACATTAAGTGCCTTTCTGATATACATCACTTAGTGCTTGGAGCCCTCAGGGAAATGGCTTCCCATTCCCAGATTCAGATCAGAACAGGTTTTGTACTAAGATGAATATGGCCGCACAGTACCACACCCCCAGGAGCATCCCATCTTGCAGAGAGGCCTCTGGGTTGCTTCATGAAGGGTTCCTATTTACACCTTCTTCCCATTTCCTTCCACTGATAAAAACCTCTTTTCTGTCTGACCTGTAAAGGCCTAAAGAGTCCCTGAGTGTTGACTCCTCATTCAGTTCATTTAACTCCTAGTTTGATGCCCAAGGGCCAGCTTCCTCCATAGGTTCAGCAGCAGCTTTGCCTGGGTTCTTAACCTCCAACTTGGTGGACTTCAGCAGGTCTTCACCTGCTCACCAAGATCTGCCTTGATATCTGTTAAGAAACCTAGTGGTCTATACTTTCCATACTGTGGAACTCATTTGTAGGTCTCATAAGCCATAGAATTTATGATTAGAGGAAGTATATTTATATGTACGTATGGTGTGACAGGAAAGGCAAGGAGAAAGGAGAAGCCAGACCTTGAAGGCATAAAACTGGCTTTCCAAAAGAGATGCAAAATGGCAAGGAGAGAGGAATCAGAATGTTATTCTAGTTTCTGGTATAGAATTAGGATGGTCAAGGATGAGTAAAGCAATTTTCAGGAGTTTCCTGGGGAATAATAGACACTCCTACTAAATGACCATCCCCCTGCTTAGAAGCAGCCATTTTGCATCTTTAAAGTGGCCCTCTTTGACCCGAGTAACAAAGGCAGCCAGACACTACACTCCTAAAGACTAATGGATGTCTGAAGATCTAGCTGTGCCACTGGCTTCCCACTGCTCGGGCTATTTTGGCTGGTAAATACTACTGATGAGAGGGCAAAGGAGTCAGGTTCCTTTATTAAGCATTGTCTCCTGGGGGAGGAGTATCCTGGGACAGTCACCTGAGAAGTCAACTGGTAGCCTTTAATTGACTAAGCTTTAAGGGAACCATTAAAGGAGGAGCCGTTGGAAAAATAATTTTATAGGCAACAGTTGGATTAAGGGTGAAATATGTACAGGCTTTGGGCTTAGGCATGGACTTGATTCTTTAGAAAAGCAGTCGTTGAGGAAGCTAGGTTTGAAGTCAATTCCAAGAGGGAAGTGGCCAGGGTCAAACAAATGTCTGGTGTTTTCACTGACTGTACTGTCCTTTCTTTCCATAGCCTTGTCTCTGGCCTCAGGACCCTAAGTCAGCCCATCCCCAGGTGGTTTGTCCTGGTCCTCCTCCATGTGCACACCATGAGAAAACATGATGAAAACAGGGAAAAGATGAAGGTTTTCCCTACTTGGGATAGAGAATCACTGACCGATTCCATTGGCCTCTGTAATCACGAGGTCCATGCTAAATCCATGGAGCGGCATAGGGACAGTAGGATTGGTTAAGCAAACAGGTCACTCTGCTTCCTGCTCCATCCCGTCCCCAGAATTTCTTTCTTACACATCAGATGCCTTTAAACGATCACCCTGGGTTACCCCAGCCAAGGGCTATAGAGTCTAGGTGGTCACTGGTGGAATAAAGACAGATCAGATGCTCCAGCACTCATGGTTCATGAGATTCAAAACTGATTTTCTTCCACTCCAAACATACACTCTTCTCTTGGGCAGCTATAAATAGGGTTGTTCTAATAGAAGGAAAAGAAACAAAAACAAAAAACCCTCCCTCTAGACAACATAGAAAGACTCAAATGATTGCACTTATTAGATGTGGACAGGGTGGGCAGGAGGCTTGCCAAGTGCACAGACATTCCTCTTGCTGCCCACAGCCTGAGGCCAGAGGTAGGTGGCTCCAGACTGGCTGTAAAGCAGGTCCTCTTTGGTAGAGCCCACAAGCCACCTGGGGCTACAAGGGAAGGACAGATGTGGGGCAAGGCCCAGGCTGGCTTCAGGTCAACAGCCATGCTTCTTTAAGGACAATATGTAGTGAGGGGAGTAGGGTTCCCCTAGGGAGCACTTGGGTGGAACTGAAGGGGTAGCTGGGCCAGGGAAGACATGTAACAAAAGGAATTAGTGTTCAGAGTTAGCTTCCAATCGTTCTGTCTGGTCTTTTAGGTGATACATTTTCTTTTCTTTCTGTTTTCTTTTTTTGGTGATGCTTTAAAACCTGGTTCTGTTTTGCAGAGCTATAGTCTTTCTCCCAGGGAGCCACAGCAGGGTATTCAACATGGCAATGCCTGTTGCTCTTCCTCATCTGGCCGATATCCACTAGCCCAGTGTTGTGGGCCATTCATAAACTCTTATGGAGTATATCCCAGGCAGACATGTGGGGGAAGAGAGGAGCTATATAGATAAGAAAGTTGGCTGTGTGTGGAGTCCAGGGCCCGAATCATATGCCCTAGCGGACCAGTGTTGGTATTAAACCTGTACGTCAAAGGCTTCTTTGGCAGGACTCTGGGCTGTTAGAATTATCCTGGGGATCACAGCCAGGGGACATTCTGGCTTCGGACTAGCAAGGCACAACCCTTTAATGGCAGAAGCGCCTCTTCCCCCTCTTCCTTCTCCACTAGACCCACTTCCTTCCTGGGCCTCTAGCACCCTTCCAAGCTAATGGAGTCAGGGATATGAGTTGGTAAAATGGGCAGTGGAGGGGCTGTGCTGTTCCTTCTCCCCTTAGGGTGAATAAAGCCAGCAATGAATGGCTTTTCTAGGGAGCATGTAGGAAGGGGAAAAACAGTAAAAAGAGAGAGAGACAAGGAAACGAAACTAGAAAGAAGGGGAGAGTGCCTGGTCTGTGTAGTGATGTTTTTTTCCCTCCAAAAAGAGAAAGAGGAAAGAGTTCCTTGTCTGAGGGTGGGGGGCTGCTGGCGCTGAGGGCTAAGAAGTCTGGGGACTTCAAAACCTGGGTCTCTGGGTCTAGGGGCACTATTTGTATGGCCTCAGGAAGCTGGAAACTTTGGAGCGGAGTAGCTTGATGAAGGATTTTGGCAGCATCTCCTTGTGTTTCTCTGTGTACTTGAAGTAGTTCTGGGGGTGGGCTAGCACCTCAAAGAAGGCCTTGATGAGCTTCTTGTCCTGCAGAGGATGGCAGGCAGCAATGTCAGCCTCAGCAATGGGGTGGGAAGGGGGAATACCATGACTCAGCAGCCCCTCTTGATGGCTTATAGGCATCTCACACTGAATATATCCAGAGGTAAAATCTGGATTCCCATCACCACTATTTACTCCTTCTTTAGAGTTCCATACCTTAGTCAATGGCAGCTCTATCATTCTACTGCTCAGGGCCCATTCCTTGGAGCCATTCTTGACTCCTCTCTCTTGCTTGACTCTACCTTCAAAATGTATCCAGGGTTTGTCCATTTCTCATCATCTTCACAGCTACCACCCTGGTCCAAGCCATCATCATCTCTCACTTAGACTACTGCAATAGTCTCCTCACTGGTGTTGATGCTTCTTCCCTTGTCTCTCCAGAGATTGTTCTCCCCCCAGCAGCCAGAGTGACTTTTGGGGTTTTTAATTAGTCCATCTTTTTTCTGTTTGAAATACGTATCTGGTTTCTTTTAGCACTCAGACTAAAGCTGAGCCCCTTGCATGTCCTATAGGCTGAATGTAATCTGTGCCCTGCTTTTCCCCTATGCTGAGCCACCCTATCCTTCTTGATTGACCCTAAATATGTCAAACTGCTCCCACACTACTTTAGCTTGGAATGTGCCTCCCTGTCTTCTAGCCCTTTTTCCTCACTCAGGCTTCTCCTCAGAGGACTTTCCTGACCACCCTATCTGCAACAACAGCACAATGTGTGGAGTGCCCATAGGGGCCAGGCATTGTGCATTAAAAACTCAGATCTTTTGGTTCCTAGGCTGGTACTCTCCACTGCATCAGCGGATTTTTAAAGTAATGAGTGGGGCTTCCAGCCTCTTAACCCCACCTTAATCAGAACAGCTGTACTGCTTTATGCATTGGAATTCCACAGTACATTTGATTTAAGGTTTGGATACTTCAGTTGTTTAAAAGTATTGCTGAAATTATATCCTTTGAAGTCTGTTATATTCTAGGTGATTTTTGTCATCATGGCTTTTGTTTTGATGATACTATAAAAATTATTTTACTAATAAGATAGAATTTTTTGCAGTGATAATTTATAAAGGATAATTCTATGACTAGGATGATAATTTCTTTTTTTTTTTTAATAGAGTCTCACTTTGTCACCTTCAGTAGACAAAGTGCCATGGTGTCACAGCTCACAGCATCCTCAAACTCTTGGGCTTAAGCAATTCTTTTGCCTCAGCCTCCCAAGTAGCTAGGACTGAGGCACCCACCACAATACCTGGCTAATTTTAGAGACAGGGTCTTGCTCTTGCTCCAGCTGGTCATGAACCTGTGAGCCACCGCACCCAGCTTGGATGCTAATTTCTTTCTTTCTTTTTTTGAGACAGAGCCTAAAGCTGTTCCCCTGGGTAGAGTGCCGTGGCATCACAGCTCACAGC